AGACAAAGTTTCACTCTTGTTGCCCAGGCTGGAGTGCAATAGTGTGATCTTGGCTCACCGCAGCCTCCACCTCCCAGGTTCAAGCGATTCTCCTGCCTCAGCCTCCTGAGTAGCTGGGATTACAGGCATGTACCACCATGCCTGGCTAATTTTGTATTTTTAGTAGAGACGGGGTTTCTCCATGTTGGTCAAGCTGGTCTTGAACTCCAGACTTCAGGTGGTCTGCCTTCCTCCACCTCCCAAAATGTTGAGATTAGAGGTGTGAGCCACCACCATGTTGGTGGTGGCTTTTTTTTATTACTATTTTTTTTTGAGATAGAGTCTCACTCTGTGTCCCAGACTTGAGTGCAGTGGTGCGATCTCTGCTCACTGTCATCTTCACCTTCCAGGTTCAAACAATTCTCATGCCTCAGCCCTCTGGGTAGCTGGGACTACAAGTGCACACCACCATACCCAGCTAATTTTTTTTTTTTTTTTTTTTTTTTTTAAGTAGAGACAGGGTTTTACCGTGTCTGTACTAAAAGGCCAGGCTGGTCTTGAACTCCTTGCCTCAGGTGATCTGCTCACCTCTGCCTCCCAAGTGTTGGGATTACAGGGATGAGCCACTGTGCCCAGCCTTCTTTTTTGTCTTTAGACAAGCATGCCAGGTGATTGGGGTGCTGGAAGGCTTTTGACTGCATTATTTTTTTAAGAGAAATTCATCCTAGAGAGTTGAAATAGTTGTTAACTTACATGCCCGACCCGAATCTTGCACTTAGTGACTGTGCAGTGTGATTGCAGCCTCATGAGGAGGCATCTTTTCATTGTTGCTGTTTGTCCTCCACGTTCTTGTCCCTTAGAAGAACGGCAGGAAGAATGCTACTGCCCCAGGAAAGAAAGTAGGGGAGGAGAAGTCTCTGGCTCCTGTGTTTGCTGAGAAGTTAATATCACCAAGCAGGAGGGGAGCCAAGCTCAAGGACCATGAGAGCTACCAGGAGAATGAAGACAGGAACAGTGAGTTGGACCAAGATGAGGACTTCTCCAGGGTGTTCTTGGTGAGTGTGAGTTAGAGACAAGCTGCTGTGCGTGCCATTCTACAGCATTTGGGGAGAGGTTCTGTTAATAATCCATCCCTCTAAAAACTGCGTTGGCAATCCCTGGCTGATTCTTCAGGATGGGCTTCATTGATGGGGAGTCTCAGTGGATGTTTGACCTTTGCTGTCTACCTGACCAAAGTCAGAAGTTTTCTTTTTCTTTCTTTAATTTTTTTGAGACAGAGTCTTTCTCTGTCAGCCAGACTGGAGTGCAGTGGCATGGTGCTCCGCCTCCCAAGTTCAAGTGATTCTCCTGCTTCAGCCTCCTAAGTACCTGGGATTACAGGCACACGCCACCACATCAGCTAATTTTTGCGTTTTCAGTAGAGACGGGATTTCACCATGTTGGCCAAACCTTGAACTCCTGACCTGAAGTGATCCATCTGCCTTGGCTTCCCAAGGTGCTGGGATTACAGGCATGAGCCACCGTGCCTGGCCCAGAAGTTTTCTCTTTGAATACTATACATTGATGAGTTCTGTCTTTGTGCTTATGAGCCACACAGATGCCATCTCAGATTTAATTTTCAGTGACTTTTTTCTGTCTTGATGGAGTCTATGTAACATTTAAAATACTGTGGCTACTAAAGAGTAATTCTTACTGTAGTTATTAAAATGCAAGAACAAATCATTTAAAATTATTTCATAATAAAGTTAAAATGAGGCTGGGCATAGTGGCTCATACCTGTAATCCCAGCACTTTGGGAGGCCAGGAGTTCAAGACTAGCCTGGGCAACATGGACAGACCTGATCTCTACAAGAAATTAATAAATTAGCCAGGTGTGTTGGCACACGCCTATAATCCCAGCTACTTGGTAGGCCGAGGTGGGAGGATGGATTGAGCCAGGAGATTGAGGCCACGGTGAACCATGATCTTACCACTGCACTCTAGCCTGTGTAACATAAATGAGACCCTATCTCAAAGTAAAAAGTTAAAGTGACTGAATTTTTTTCTTAGATTTTTGTATACAGCCAGATATAAAAAAACAATTGTTCTCTGAAAGGAGAATTTATCATTCTTAACTAGTCTGTGTAATAGTAATTAATTACTGTTAATTAGGTGGCTTTCCTTGTGATTCTAGGGGGGTAAAAGTAAAGCTGGGACCAAAGGTAGGAAAGACCTTCCCATGAGGACTGAAGATGATGAACAGGATGATGACTGGCAGTGACAAAGGCAGTGAGGAGGAGGAGGAGGAAGGTCGCATGACCTGGATCAGCACTGTTAAGCAGTGTGGCCGGCATCAGGGAATGCTAGTTGTAAGTGAAGCCCATCAGAAGGGGCTGTTGCATTTCCTGTATGAATTTAAATAACTTTCTTATTAATTTATAAATGATTTTAAAAGTACCCTGACCAGACTCAACTCATGAGTCTTGTGACAATTAAGTATAGCTTTGGAATGATGTTTGTGGGTAGTATAAAAGTTTCCAGAAAGCAGGTGATTGATTGCAAATGCAGTGTTCTGGCTTTCACCCACAGAACCTATCAGAGAAACACCTGATAAACGAAGGAAGGAAATGGCCAATCAGAAAAATTCCCCTGGAACCAAAAACCAGAAATTGGAAGGTAACTTACTGGCCGTGGTTTAAAGAACAAGAGATGCATGGAGAATGTCATGTTGGCAAAAACTTAGCCTCTGTTAGCCCAGACGAGCAACAGTGAGATTTGCTACAGAAGCTTGGTGTTATAATAAGCCACAATCTTTAATGGATTTTCTTTTAGTGCTACTTTTTCTGAACTGAGTTCTTTTTTTTTTTTTTTTTAAACATTTTTGTGTAGCAGCTGAACCACTTGTAGCTTTCAAACTGTTTGTTGGAAACCTGAATTTCAACAAAACTGTTGCTGAACTACAAGCTGGTCTCAGTGAATTTTTTGCTAAAAATGATCTTGAGGTTGTTGGTGTCAGGGTTGCCTTGTCCAGGTAAATACCAATAAATTAAGAAGGTTTTTAAGAGCTTATCAGCCCAGCACTTGATGTTCGTGGAGAATTGAGGAGTTCCAATAGCTTTATGCTACTTCATCGTGGCTCATAGGCTGCTGTCTTCTCAGGTCCTTTTGTTGCCTGCTCTTCACCCTTTGGTGGGATTTTACCTCAGTCATTTGCAGTTCAAAATGAATGTTTAAAATCCTTCAATGGCTCATGCTTGGTAAATCTGTTATATTTAACTTTGCTACCTATTTTCTCAACCAAAATATTAAAATAATCCCAAGATCTTCCAAGTCTTAGAGACAGGGTCTCGCTGTTTTACCCAGGCAGGTCTCAAACTCCTGGGCTCAAGTGATCCTTCCACCTCACCCTCCCAAAGTGCTGGACTTACAGGTATGAGCCACTGTGCCCTGCCTGTTTTTTAAAAATTCAAAAAATTATTATTATTGAGACAGTTTCACTCCATCACCCAGGCTAGAGTGCAGTCGTGTGGTCTCAGCTTACTGCAGCCTCTGCTTTCCAGGTTCAAGCAATTCTGCCTCAGCCTCCTAAGTAGTTAGGATTACAGGCGCCTGCCACCATGCCCAGCTAATTTTTATATTTTTAGTAGAGACAGGGTTTAGCCATGTTGGCCAGGCCGGTCCTGAACTCCTGGTCTCAAGTGATACGCTTGCCTCAGTCTCCGGAGTGCTGGGATTGCAGGTGTAAGCCACTGCACCTGGCCAAAAATAAATAAATAAATAAATAAATAATTTTTTTTGGAAACAGGGTCTCAGTCCGTTGCCCAGGCTGGAGTGCAGTAGTATTATCATGGCTCACTGCAACTTCTGCCTCCCACCTCAGCCTTCTGAGTAGCCGGGACTGCAGGCACGCATCACCACACCTTTTTTGTACACATAGGGTTTAGCCGTGTTGCCCAGGCTGATCTCAAACTCCTGAGCTCAAGCAGTCCTCCCACCTCAGCCTCCCAAAGTGCTGGGATAACAGGTATGAACCCCTGTGCCCAAGCAAAATTTGTAAATTCAAGCCATATTTTCTATAGCTTTTGGTTAAATTTTGTCATTTGTTAAGCTGAAAACTAATAGAGATGTCAGTAGGCAAACTCTGCACTGATTCTCAGCCCTTGCTCTAGAACGAAGTCTCTCTATTGACGTTCTGGGCTAGACAATTTTTTTTTTTTTTTTTTTTTTTTTTTTGAGACAGGATCTGGCTCTGTCACCTTGGCTGGAGTGCAGTGATGCAATCTTGGCTCACTGCAACCTCTGTCCCCCAGCTCAAGCCATCTTCCCACATCAGCCTCCCAAGTAGCTGGGACCACAGACATGTACCACTATGCCCAGCTAATTTTTTTTTTTTAATTTTCTGTGGAAACAGGGTTTCACCATGTTGACCAGGCTGGTCTCCAACTCCTGAGCCCAGGCAATCTGCCCGCCTTGGCCTCTCGCAGTGGTGGGATGGCAGACATGAGCCACCACACTGGGTCTGGGCTGGGCAATTCTACATAGTGGTGGCTGTCCAGTTCATCGTGTTTAGCAACCTCCCTGAATTCTACCCATTAGATACTAGATGCTTCCCCATTTGGAACAGCCAAAAATGTCTCTAGACATTGTCAAACTTGCCTCCCCCACCCCACCCCCCGGGGTGAGAACTACTTCTCCATAGTTATTTCACAGTACTGACTGCCAGTTTGTAGAGCCTTGGTTTTAAATTGTAAATTAGGCAGCTGCTTGTGACTTAGTAGTGCTAATTTCTGTTCCAACAGCTAGTGTGATTAGCTAACCAGAGGCATACACTCTTCATCTTACCTATGTATGCTTTTTCCTTTTCCCTTTTTTTCTACATCTCTGTAGGAGATTTGGTTATGTGAATTTTATTTATTTATTTATTTATTTTTATTTATTTTTTTTTTTGAGACGGAGTTTCGCTCTTGTTACCCAGGCTGGAGTGCAATGGCGCGATCTCGGCTCACCGCAACCTCCGCCTCCTGGGTTCAGGCAATTCTCCTGCCTCAGCCTCCTGAGTAGCTGGGATTACAGGCACGCGCCACCATGCCCAGCTAAGTTTTGGTACTTTTAGTAGAGACGGGGTTTCACCTTGTTGACCAGGATGGTCTTGATCTCTTGACCTCGTGATCCACCCGCCTCTGCCTCCCAAAGTGCTGGGATTACAGGCTTGAGCCACCGCGCCCGGCCGTGAATTTTAAATCTGTTGATGATCAGGAAAAAGCCCTGGAACTTAGTGATACAAAAGTCCTTGGGTATGAAATTACATTTAAGAAACCAAAGTGAAAGAAAACAAAGGTATGCAAACAAGGCAATTTGTTCAGAGGTGTCGATGTATCTAGAAGATTCTGGGTCAGGCAGAAGTATCACATTCTTTCTAATTTGGTGCAAGTAATCCTCAGTTTCTGACGAGCCACCTGCCTCCGTTGCACCCTGCCCTCCCTTCTGTGCTCGCGATGCACGGCCTACCTTTCTCTGTCATAACGTTCTTTCCAGGACTCAGTCCCTGGCTACTTGAAACCCATCCAGTCCCAGCTTAAATATCGCTTCCTCAGATCAGAAAACTCTTTCCTTACCCCCACACTAGGGTAAGTCTTCTCTACTAGACTTCCTCATTGCCCCTTTTACTTGTCCGTCCTGGCACTCATCAAGGTGTATAATTATATGACTATTCATTTACTTGTCTTTTCTCCAACAAAAACACATTCCTGAGAGCAGAGGCCAAGTCCATGTTTTCACAGCAAGCATGTAGCACAAGCCCTAGCCTAGAGTATGTATTCAAATATTTATTAAACGAACGAAGATGTATTGTTTCCACTTTGCAACTCTTTGAGGGGTATTTTTTCTGTCGTAGGGGATTTTTAATGTTTACTAAATCCGAACTCACCAGAAATATTCTTTTGTTTTTATGTAGATCAAAATGCCAAAACACTTTTGATCAAGAACGTGTCTGGCCGGGCGCGGTGGCTCAAGCCTGTAATCCCAGCACTTTGGGAGGCTGAGGCGGGTGGATCACGAGATCAAGAGATCGAGACCATCCTGGTCAACATGGTGAAACCCCGTCTCTACTAAAACTACAAAAAATTAGCTGGGCATGGTGGCACGTGCCTGTAATCCCAGCTACTCAGGAGGCTGAGGCAGGAGAATTGCCTGAACCCAGGAGGCGGAGGTTGCGGTGAGCCGAGATCGCGCCATTGCACTCCAGCCTGGGTAACAAGAGCGAAACTCCGTCTCAAAAAAAAAAAAAAAAAAAAAAACGTGTCTGACAGAGTCACTCAACATGAATTAAAAGAAGTGTTTCAGGATGCTTTTCAAATCAGATTAGTGAGCAAGGATGGGATGAATAAAAGGTATGTTTTGTACCTTGTACTGAATAAGAATGTAAGTCTGCTGGATACAAACATAATGGAATTTCCTTACATTCTCTCAAATCTCTATGTCTGATTTTAGAGAAGGGAAGAGTAGTTACCCAGATTTCTGCCAGTAGGCATAAAAAATCGAAGGAGACATCATAAAGGGACAGCCAAAACTTCTAGAAAACTGTAGTGGTGCTGTAGAGATATAGAGACTTACTCTGCTACCAAGTACAGGATTGAAGATTAGAACTTATTCGTAGATTATGTACATTTATTCTTCTCTTTCCAGGGCTGACTCCACTAGAATAACATACTAGGTAACTTGCTTGGACAGGTGCCAAAATAGAACATGGAATTGTTATGTTTATGTTGTAACCAATTAGTGAAACACTGTCCTTAGGTATCTAGGCTTTGGTAGAGTAAGAGTGAATATGGTGAAATTAGAGGGGGTGGAGTATAATATGTTTTGAAGGGATTGTCATTGAGGTGGAAATTGAATATTGTTTTCTTTTTTTCCTTTTTTGAGATGGAGTTTCATTATTGTTGCCTGGGCTAGAGTGTAGTGGCGAGGGTCTCAGCTCACTGCAGCCTCCGCCTCCCGTGTTCAAACGATTCTCATGCCTCAGCCTCCGAGGTAGCTGGGATTACAGGTACCCGCTACCACACCGGCTACTTTTTTTTTGTATTTTTAATAGAGACAGGGTTTCTCCATATTGGCCAGGCTGGTCTTGAACTCCTGACCTCAGGTGATCCCCCCGCCTCGGCCTCCGAAAGTGTTGGGATTACAGGCGCGAGCCATTGCACCCAGCCTGAATATTGGTTTTATAGTTACTTTTGAGCTAAATGTGTTGGTGTAGGTGAACTCTAAAATAATCTGTAGCAGTGTGTTCTGATGAAGCTAATCTCTAGAAAGGATACTACAGATCTAACAAGCCTAAGATAGAACTATATATATTGACCTGGAAAGCTATGATAAATATAGGAAAACAAATCTCAAAGAATAAATTCCAAACTGTTAGCAGTGTTTACCAGGAGGAGATTTGGGAGCATTCTGCTTGTTGTCTCTGGAAAACAAGCAAACACATTTCTGCCAAAAGCTATATAATTTATTAAGGTTTAATTAGGTTTTAATTAAATATTTTTATATCTTTATAGTCATTTTTGTACATGGAGAATTATTGTATCACTTCTCAGCCTTTTGGCTAAGGTCAAGTGTAGTATCTGTTCTTCAATTTAATATCTGATATGTCCTAAATTAAAAGCAAAAAAAAGAATTATTGTAAAGGGGAGATAAGAGAAGCCAGAGAATCCATGGCCATGTGAAATAAAGCATAGTGCCTATGCCAGAAAAGAGTGTGGTGCATTAGCTTTAAGAATCTGACTCAGGGTCGGGCGCGGTGGCTCAAGCCTGTAATCCCAGCACTTTGGGAGGCCGAGGCGGGTGGATCACGAGGTCAAGAGATCGAGACCATCCTGGTCAACATGGTGAAACCCCGTCTCTACTAAAAATACAAAAAAAAATTAGCTGGGCATGGTGGCACGTGCCTGTAATCCCAGTTACTCAGGAGGCTGAGGCAGGAGAATTGCCTGAACCCAGGAGGCAGAGGTTGCGGTGAGCCGAGATCGCGCCATTGCACTCCAGCCTGGGTAACAGGAGCGAGACTCCGTCTCAAAAAAAAAAGAAAAAAAAAAAAAGAATCTGACTCAGGCTGGACTTGGTGGCGCACTCCTATAATCCTGGCACTTTGGGAGGCTGAGGCAGGCAGATCACCTGAGGTCAGGAGTTTGAAACCAGCCTGGCCAACATGGTGAAACCCTGTCTCTACTAAAAATATAGAAAATTAGCTGGGCATGGTGGTGGGCACCTGCAATCCCAGCTACTCAGGAGGTCAAGGCAGGAGAATCCTTTGAACCCAGGAGTTGTAGATTGTAGTGAGCCGAGATTGCGCCGTTGCACTTCAG